TGTCTGTATATGCCGTCCATGTGCTGTGGATGTCGTCAATTGTCTGTCTGTGTCGTCCATGTGCTGTGGATGTCGTCATTTGTCTGGTCGTGTTCATGTACTGTGTGTGTCGCCAGTTGTCTGCCTGTGCCGTCCATGTGCTGTGGATGTCGTCAGTTGTCTATCTGTGCCGTACATGTGCTGTGTGTGCCGTCAATTGTCTGCCTGTGCCCCCCATGTGCTGTGGATACCGTCAGTTGTCTGTCTGTGCCGTCCATGTGCTGTGGATGTCGTCATTTGTCTGGTTGTGTTCATGTATTGTGTGTGTCGTCAGTTGGCTGATTGTGCTGCACATGTGTTGTGGATGTCGTCAGTTGTCTGTCTGTGCCGCCATGTGTTGTGGATGTCGTCATTTGTCTGGTTGTGTTCATGAACTGTGTGTGTCGTCAGTTGTCTGATCGTACTACACATGTGCTGTGGATGTCGTCAGTTGTCTGTCTGTGCCGTCCATGTGCGGTGGATGCTGTCAGTTGTCTGATCGTGGCGCACATGTGCTGTGAATGTCGTCCATTGCACGTCTGCACTCTGTTGCCAACCGTTTCCCGTGAACTGTCGGTGGCTCGGCACTGATGCCGGCGCTGTGCCGTGACTGTCGGCGGCTCGGTGCTATTGTCGGCGCTGTCCGTGACTGACGGCGGCTCTGCACTGCTTTCGGCGCTATCCCGTGACTGACGGCGGCTCGGCACTGATGCTGGCGCTGTGCCGTGACTGTCGGCGGCTCGGCGCCATTGTCGGCGCTGTCCCGTGACTGTAGGCGGCTCTGCACTGCTGTCGGCGCTGTCCCGTGACTGTCGGTGGCTCGGCACTGCCATCGGCGCTATCGCGTGGCGTTCCGTGATCGGTGTCTTTGGCATGGCTCTGGGTGACTGCACGGGTGTCAGTGTCTTGCTGCAGCTTTGTGGCTGTGTACTGTTGTCCACCTTCCCGTAGCCACTGGTGTGGCTACCAGGGGTGTCACGTTGTGTAATTGAGGGGGGGGGCTATTATAATTATATGTGATTCAGGGATGCTAATCGAAGTGGCCGAAATCTAGAGAGAAATCGTGATTTGAGAGAAGGTCAGGTAACCCTAGTGAGTCAGCCTCCCCCTCCCCCCCCCCCCATCTAACTGATCTCAGAAAGTGACAGCCTGGTGGCTACCTCCGTCACCGAGCTGTGGCTGTGGGTATGACCGTGGCCGCGGCTGTGGCTGTGCCTGTGGGTATGGCCGTGGCTGTGGCTGCGGCTGTGGCCGTGACCGTGGCTGTGACTGTGACTGTGGCCGTGGCGGTGGCCGTGGCCGTGGCCGTGGCCGTGGCCGTGGCGGTGGCCGTGGCGGTGGCCGTGGCCGTGGCCGTGGCCGTGGCCGTGGCCGTGGCCGTGGCTGTGGCTGTGGCTGTGACTGTGACTGTGACTGTGACTGTGGCCGTGGCTGTGGCTGTGGCTGTGGGTATGGCCGTGGCTGTGGCCGTGGCCGTGACTGTGGCTGCGGCTGTGGCTGTGACTGTGACTGTGGCCGTGGCCGTGGCTGTGGCTGTGGCTGTGGCTGTGTCCTTGGCTGTGGCTGTGGCCGTGGCTGTGTCCTTGGCTGTGGCTGTGACGTGGCTGCGGGCGCAGCGGTGGCGGGACACCGCTGCGGGACCGTCTTGGCAGAGGCCGATCTGCGATCCCTTCGTGACGCCTGCCGACCGCCGTTGACCGGCGCTGAAACACGGCCCGCCCGGCCGCCGACCGCCGCCGCTTACTTCCGGCAGCCATTTGGAAGCCAGCTCGGCCCCCAGCTTGGCGGCCGGGACGCCCGAGAGAGAGCGGCCGGAGCGGTGGGCCAGAGCGGCGGCGCTTCTCGGTCGACGCCTTTGTCCCGGCCGCACAGTGGGCCAGTTCTATCTGCCCCGGTAAACTCCATTCACACGCACTTAATGAAAGACCGCGAGCCGGCCGGCCCGACAAAGGCCGCTGTTTACCTCATGAATATAAAAGGTAGTATGATATCAATGGGCCCGCTGCTGCCTGTAGTGGATGAGTGGTGGCGCACGGCTCCCAGGCACCGGCCGCGGATCGGCCGGCCGGCCGGCCACGCCGCCGCCTTCGCCCGCGGGATAAAACTCTTGTCATAATAGTTTTCCACCCGGTGAAAGGCGGCGCTGCGCCCCTGAAAGGAGATTTTTTGCCGGCGGCGGCGGTGTACACTTCCGTAGTGCGGCCGGCTGTGGCGCGGCCGCGGATTATCAGGTCGCTGATCGGATCGTGGAGAGCCTCTCCCGGCCGCCAGCCGGCACAAACGCGCTGGCTTCTGGTTGAAGGGCGGTGAATGCAGGCCGAGCCGCCGCTGAATGCCTCCCGGCCGCCGAGTGCCCAAAATCGGAGCACTCTTTCACGCCGTCTGTGAGAGTGAGTTGTCCCGCGCCAATATGAAATATCATCAAAATCGGGGAACCGTGGTGCGGCATGCTCGAGCCCCATTCTTCTGTGCGCTGTGTTTTGTGTTATGTCGTGGTGATTTAGGGTGAACATCAGAGAGCGTTGAGCTTGTGATAGGAGCGCGTGTGGTGGGTATCTGAGAGTCGTAGAGAGTAGTTTGTGCTGTCGGTCTCGCAGCAGTCCTCGATTGTTTCTCGCTACTGATAAACGCGTTCATGGAGGTCTTTACCAGGTACGCCAACATTGTGTTTATTTTGATCGGGTCTGCGATGAGCCCGCATCAGTCATCGGTGCCGTGTCCTTGTTCCGTCGCCGCACGGCCTGTGGATTGTTATCGTTGTCCCCACCCAATGGACTACTTGTCACCCATGAATAGGCCGCGAGGAGTGCGTCCTGTCCCGATCCATGGTGGCCTATGGTGCCGCACTTAAGCCGCCGTTCATTCCGTGTAAAATTAACCGCGCAAGGCGCGGCATCCCTCGCAGCATAAGAGACGACGTAAAATAAAACGAGCTTAACTCAGCGTAAAGCATGGAACTCCGTGGGGCCAATACCGTCTTGCCGATATGGCGGTCTCCTGCTGCATTTTCTTGCGATATATCTGTCGTTCAATCAGCCACGGGTGCCACTTTACGAGTTTACCCAGAAGCCACTGCTTGATCCAGCCACTGCTGCAGCGCTTATCACCGTCGTATTGTGGCCTCTGTCGCGCGCCCTGCCGTGACCGTCGCCGCCGTGTGTCGCGCAGGGTGTGGTGAGCGTGGCCGGTCAGCCGCGGCGGCTGATCCTGCAGGCGGTGGGCGAGATCTCGCGACACCGAGTACACCAGCCGGTGGCGGCCCGACGAAGCCCGGCTCGCGCGGCTCATCTGCATCGGTCAGTCGGGGTACACGCGGGCAGGGCGGGCTCGGCCTCCGGCAGCCGGCAGCCGGTGTACCTGAGTCAGTCAGGGTACACGCAGGCACGGCGGGCTCAGCCTCCGGCAGCCGGCAGCCGGTGTACCCTGAGTCAGTCAGGGTACACGCGGGCAGGCGGGCTCAGCCTCCGGCAGCCGGCAGCCGGTGCTGAGTCAGTCGGGGTACACGCGGGCAGGGCGGGCTCGGCCGCCGGCAGCCGGCAGTCCGTGTGCCCTGAGTTAGTCGGGGTACACGCGGGCAGGCGGGCTCGGCCCCGGCAGCCGGCAGTCCGTGTGCCCTGAGTTAGTCGGGGTACACGCGGGCAGGGCGGGCTCAGCCGCCGGCAGCCGGCAGTCCGTGTGCCCTGATTCAGTCAGGATACGCCGGCTTCCGGCGGGCTCAGACGCGCCCGCGCAGACGCTGCAGCGGCCGCGGCGATGGACGCGGGGGGCCGAGTTGCGCTGGCATCTCCGTGCTGGGCAGAGAAATCTCGTTTCAGCCAGGTGGTGGTTGTTCTGCGAGCAGGCCTTGTCGGTTCTTCGGCATCGTTGTGACACGACGGTCGAGAGCTCCATGGGGTTTGATCGAACCCAACTCCGCCCGTCATGCGATGATTTAGATGCAATCAATATTTTGGAACAGGATTGGATCCAGCAAAGACCGGTGTTATGGAAGGTTGAATGACGGCACGGGGCCAGTGCCATGCTCCTTTATTTTCCAGTTACGAGATACTCGTTGATACAATTGTGGATAATAAGCGCTCAAGTGGAAAAGTAATGTCTCTCTCCCTCACTCTCTGTATTTGTCCTTAAGAAATGCCTTATCTTAAGGCCCAATTTTCAAGCTGATAACCTTACGATACCTTGCCTCAAGTCGTGTTTAATGGCGCAAAAAGAGCCTCTCTCGAACACGAAACAAGAAAATTGTCAAAACCATATTCATATGGTACAGTGTGGGTTAAGCCGCGGAACGCCGCTGGCCCATCGGCGCACCTTCAACGTCGCTTAGCTGGCACGGTCGCGCGCCTCGCGACCCCTCGGCGGCGGTGGCTGCCGTCTCGTCACCAGCGGGACGAGCTCAGCGCCGGCCGCGCCGCCGCCGGAGTCGGCCGACAATGGCGGCGCGGCGGCGGCGTGTCGCGGCCCGGCCTGGCCCGGCCCGGCTGCCGGATCATTAGCCGTGTCGCCGTACCCGGGCGCCGTCAGCCGTGAGCGACTGTCAGCGCCAGCCGAGCGTGCGCGCCCCAGCTGGCCGGCCGCCGCCTGAGCCGGCCGGCCCGCACCGGCGCCGCGGGACGGCGGCCAGCCCCCGTGTTACGGGCTGTTCGGCGCGCGTGGGTTGGCTGTTGATGGGCCGCGGCGGTGTCGTGTTTGGTCTCGTGCGCTGTCGTGTTTGGCCTCGTGCGCTGTGTCGTATCGTTTGATAGAGACGATGCTGATCTCCGCTGTGCGTCGGGTATGGTGTCGCTGCTGGCCCTCACATGAGGCGCTGCACAGATGCTCACCCATTAAGAAAAGCGCATGTGACATTTGGCATCGTGAGACGTGTCCCCGAGTGCAAGTCGATGCAGCCAAAAGCGGCCACGAGTTTTGCTCGAAAAGGCAGCGCTGTGCTGCCTTTGTCATGGAGCGCCGCATAACTCGTGATATGCGTCATTTTGGGATGTCCTATGTGCTGAATTGGTCTACATATCCGAGAAGCTCAACGTTGTCCAGCGCGGAGCGTGTTTTCTTTGGAAACGATGGACGTGTCCTGTGTCTGAGTGTGCTGCTGCGGTGGTGCGCGCGCGAGTGTGAGCGTGTCCGCCGACCTCGGGTTAATGGTCGATCTGCAGGCGCACCCAAATAGGTTCGCTGGCGTGCGACCTGTATGTCCGCCCCTCGCCATGCTGCTGCTGTCCTGCCGGTCCGCGGCCGTGCCGTACCGTGCCCCGGCGTCAGCCGCCGCCCCGCCCCCGCCCCCGCCCCCGCTGTCGTCACCTGCGGCCGGTTTGTGCGCGGATCCCTGGCGGCGGTTGCGGCGCGCCGGGCGGCCCTTCCGTCTCGGTGGCGCGCGGCGGGGAGGCGGCGGCGATACGGGGCCGCGCTGTTTGTGGCGCCGCCGCTGGCCCTGCCGGGGGGGCCGCGCCGCTCAAAGCCGCGCCGCGCCGAACTCACCGCCTCAGAAGTGCCGCGCTCGCCGCTTTTGCGGCGCGGCGGAGGGTCAGCGCGCGTCTGGCGGCAGCAAGAACTGGACCGCCGGCCGCTCGAGTGTGATAATGGGGTCGGACGGCTCGCCGGGTCACGGAACGGTGCTGACGGCCGCGTAGGTCAATGATGGGCAACGGTGCCAACCTGTTGCGGGACAACAGGGGGGGGGGGGGGGGGGGTCGGCGCCCTGCACAAGTCTCACATGACTAAGTGTCTCAGATGAGTCTTTGTTTCAGATGACTCAGTGTCTCAAATGACGCAGTGTGTAAGATGGCTCAATGTCCCAAGTGACTCAATGTGTCAGGTGACTCAGTGTTTCGGATGACTCAGTGTGTCAGATGACCGAGGCTGTAAGGTTACTGTGTGTGGTGGACCAGGTTCATGTCCCCAGGCGTGGTACCGGAGGCTGGCGCTGTCCTGTGGTGTGACCGGGGTTTGCGGCTATCCGCGTATGACGCATGACCGGTGTTTCAGGTCGGCACCTGGACCGCGCAGCGCTGCGCACTGCTTTTGAGTCGGCAGTGCCGGTCCAAGCTGAAGACTCATCCGCTGTGTGACGTCATGGCTGGCGGTGTGACGTCACAGTCCGCCATAGCTCGTTTTTTGCATTGGTCTTGGACATGTCGCTGTTCGCTGTTGCCCGGGCCGGATGTGCGCCGTGCGAAATCGACCCGTGATTGGTGGATTTATAACAGAATATTTATTAGACATTCTGCAGGACAGGTTTACAGGTTGCATGCTAGCACCTCCAGGGTTGCTCCCTGCCTTCATTCATCCCCGGTCGGAAGAATGGTGCTCCTCAGTTACTGAAACAAGCCGGAAAGGTTGACAACGCACTGAGCCTCGCCAGCGGACCTCGTTAACTTCAGCCATGGCGTAACCAGCCGCGACGCATCCTTGCGTCTTGGCTTGGGCGTCGGTCCGACGGTGAATCAATAGCCGCTTGTCAATGGTGTTCAAGACCATAACGTAAGCCAGCGAGTTACCGCGGCGGGCTTCGGGGTCCTGGGACTCTTGTATGCGCCGCCACCTGTAACTTTGCAACGGTGAACATGCGATGGTTTGTGGACTGAACGTGAGCTTTCTTCTTGCTGACAGTGAAACATCTCGCCCGAGCACCCCTCATCTTTGAATGGTTTCCATGGTAACTGAAGTGATGTGTTGGACTCACCGAGTGAACCGTGGAACTTTTGTCTCCTGTCGCTAACTTGTGTGCAAATGGCTACTTGTGGCATCCTCATAACTGCGGAATAAAGACCAAGACTATAATGAGATCTTCTGTTTCTCGCTGTTTCTAAACCTTCAGTCAGTGCATCTGCAAGGAGCCTGTCATCATTCTCCAGTGGTTGAATGCTGAACCTGATTTGCAATACCGTTATACGTCATTCTGGTCTGAGTCTCGATTAAAATCATAAACCACCGAAACGATTCCGACGAATGGACGCGTACACAGGGGTAGACGCTGCATGCATGCATGCATGCAAAACATGTTTGTCCGGGGTCCCAGTGGCGACCACGGCCACCAACGCCACGTTCGGAGGCTCTCACTGTAATGTTCGTGGGCGCGGTGTCAGCGGAAAGAGTCGCAGTCTTTTTGCGCTGGGATGTACCAACACGGGGTGCACTGTACACGCGCCCGACGACAGTTTGTTCATCGCAAGAGGGTAACAGGTGCACCTCGTCAAGTAACAATCTGAGACAAGCAAGCAAGCAGGCAACAAGGCTGGTGTATGGCGGGGAGCAGTTGTCTTGCTAGGTCGCCAAACAAAACGTCGATTTCGAAAACGCTGAAAACGCAAGCTTTACGTTTCCAGCTTTCCAACCTTTAAGTTCAACAACTTCACGGATTGCCGTGTTTCATGCATGCCTGTGACCGTTCACCTCTCCTGTCTGCTCCCCAGCACCACACGCGAGTTTGGCGCCGCGCCGCTGCGCGTTGGTGTCACACTTCCGCTCGCCCCTCCAGAGCTCCGCCGCGTGCCTTGCGCCTTTCCTGATGCGTGTCATGCCTCTCCTGATGCGTGTCCTGCCTCTCCTGATGCGTGCCTCGCCCTTCCAGACGCGTGTCCTGCCTCTCCTGACGCGTGTCTCGCCTCTCCTGACCTGTCTCCAGCGATGTTTCCCGTCCCTGCACCGCCGTCCTCGGCCGCTCCCCTGCCTTACCGCGTCCGGTCAAGCTCCGACCCCGCTCTGCCGACGGGCCGACCGGCCGGCCGGCCGTCCCGGAATGCGGCCCGGCCGATATGGCGGCTCCGACAACGACTGCTCGTTACCGGAGCTGGGCCCGACCGGAGATTGCCGGCGGCGGCCGGCGGCGCCGGCCCAGCTCCCGGCCGGCCACGCAGCCGCCGCCGCAGAGACGTGCTCGGGGGCATATTGCACCTCGCGGCGAGTTACGGTGGCGTTGCGGGGAGTTACGGCGGCGCGATGGGGACTTGCGGCGCTGTTGCAGAACCGCGGCATGGCGGGGAGAGATGGAGAGTCGCATTCCGTGGGCTTTTGCTGTCTCAATGGACGGATGCCGGGCGCGCATCATGTCTCTGACGTCATTGCGTCCGCTCGGGCTGTGACGCAGTCGTGTCGGAAGTCTGGCATATGGTAGTAGCGGCCGTTTATAACCATCCTCTTGCTCTGTGGTTCGTTAGCTGTGAGTACGTTTGTGCCTGAGTATTTGTGACAGATTGAATGCATGCTACCAATTAGGACGTCATCGCACATTCAAAACAAGCGTCTCGACGCTATTTTTAAGTGGAACGTTTCGGTCGCCGCTGAATAGTGTCATATGCTGCGACACACTGGAACGTTTGCCTGCATCGAACTCAGTCCCTTGTTCGGAGTCCGAGACTGCTGACGGACGGTGGCTGCCCTATCAGTGTGGGTGTCTGTCGACGTTTGCCTCGTCATCTGACGCCCACGCATCCGTCCGGTTCTAAATGAAGCGGTTCTCAGAGTCCACAAGGAGGATTTAACGCATCTCACTGAGAAAGATCGGGTTGTCGGTCTCAGCATTAATGCTCACAGTAAAGGTATTAAAGCCAGCTGGCTTGCCTCGCGATGGAACCCCCCCCCCCCCCCCCCTCCCCCTGTGTCATCGTGCGTGCATCCATTCACCGGCCGACCACACCGACGCTGCGAGAAGCGTTAGCGTTGAGTGATGAGGCATGGCTGCGGGGACGCGGGGCTCGCAGGCCGCCGGCCCCCGGCCCCCGGCCCAGCCGCCGTCTCTTCAGAGGACGCGGGTGCCGGGCACTCCTAGACCCTGGACGGCGCCCTTTTAACGGCGCGGAACACGCGGCCCGTCGTCTCCTCTCCAGGGGACGCGGGCGCCGGGCGCTCCTGGACGGCGCCCTTTTAACGGTGCGGAGCACGCAGTCCACCGCCTCCAGTCCAGCCGCCGTCTCCTCTCCAGAGGACGCGGGCGCCGGGCGCTCCTGGACGGCGCCCTTTTAACGGCGCGGAACACGCGGTCCGCCGCCTCCTCTCCAGAGGACGCAGGCGCCAGGCGCTCCTGGACGGCGCCCCTTTTAATGGCGCGGAACACGCGGTCCGCCGCCTCCTCTCCAGAGGACGCGGGCGCCGGGCGGTCCCGAACGGCGCCCTTTCAACGGCGCGGAACACGCGGTCCGCCGCCTCCTCTCCAGAGGACGCGGGCACCGGGCGCTCCTGAACGGCGCCCCTGTAACGGCGCAGAATTCACGGCGGCCGGCAGCGTGGTTGACTGCAGCTGCGCCTTCACCGACTGAGGCAGCTAAGGTACTCGATGCGAAGGAGCGGAGGCAGGTCTTGCGCCTCGCCTGCGGCACAGTCTTGCTCCCCGTGCCTTGCGACACAGAGCAGAGGTAGCGGGATTACAGAGACTGGCGCGGAGTTACGGTGTCTACGTCATCTTAGGCACGCCACAGAGCCAACGGCTGGCCGGGTCGACGGTGTACCCCAAGGCACGCCGGGGCTGTGATTAAGCTCGCGATGGGTCGTTGCTGTGCTCCGAAATGGCCAGAGACGTGTATGCGGGGCCTGGATTGTAGCAATCGTGCGGAGTAGGAGAGCAGAGGAGGGGCGCGCTGTTTCTCCCTAGCTTTAAAGGCCCCAAACTGAGGGGTACGAGGTCAGTGGTGTGGTGTGGTAAAACAGCCCCTCAAAATATCCCCATCCCAAAATTACCGCGCCCCTGACACTGGGGTGGGCCGGGACGGGGTCACACTCGGAGCGATGGCTGGTATTGAGGTCAGCACGTGGTACAAGCATGGCTGTAACCAACACTGTCCGTGAGGTCAAGCCCCAGTAACCGTTGGACAGGCTCACCTTTTTTGCATTTTGACCACATAAAACGGCGTCAACACAGGGATGAACTCCAGTTACATTTGAGGCGTGGCTTTGTCCGGGGGCGCAGCCGGTGGGCAGCAGCCGTCGCCAAGGCTGGAATTCAGCAACCAGTCAGCAAAGGCGGGCAGGACACCCGGCACGGTTCACTTACGTGATGGTAAGAGATGGATGGGCAGGTCAGTCAGTACTGCCACAAATTTAGCAGAACGTTATGATGTGCCATCAAAATAAACGCACGCAAAATTCTACACTTCACATCCCAATGTAATGGAGGCCCCATGCCCGCGTGGCCGTCACTCCCTCCACTCGCGAAAATAGATGCGTTCCGGGGTGGCACTGCCCACGTCACAGCCCACCAATAAGGAGAGCGAGAATGTCACGTTTGATGTCATCACAAAGCACTCGACAATGAATACTCGACAGTGTTCGTTGCGCACGACGCTGTGAGGGCTGCTGACATTATTTTTGACATGATGGGGGCTGCGCTTAACGCGTGTGTCATAACGTCATAACGTCATGACGTGTGCGCCCGTGTGGCCTGAAGTATGCAATGAGCAACGCGCGTGGAACATGTTTCGAATGTAGTAAGCTCGTGTAAGTTATTAAGGGTAATGTTTCACTGTCAATGCGGCGCTTCCGCCATAGCTGCTGGCAATCAGCTTAAACGGCCCTCCAATTGAGCCGCAACGTTGGCAGAAGGTCCGACACTGCTGGCGTTTGTCGTCCAGTAGTTCATGTGATGAAGCCGTCGAGCCGCCCGGGCTGGGCTGCAATGGCATGTTTTGATGCGCGTGTTACAGGAACAAAGGAGTCACTAAGTTCAATGAATGAAGTACCGAGCGTCCGCTAACGGTCCTGAACCCCGCCTTCCGGGGAAAACAATTTTGTAGATTTTCTGGATGTGCATGTGGATATCTGGACAAGTATAGGTATATTCATAGGTATATTTATGGATACAAATATAGATATATTTTATGAGCCGCAAGCGCCTGTCGTAAGCGGCATTGTGCGTAGACTCACGCATGTTAGGTCAATGGTCAAAGAGGAATATTCCAAGTGGTTAAGAAAGTCAATGTAGAGAAGCTCGGTACGCCGATGATAGTGATGCCGCTCCATGCCTGATGAAGCCCTGAGGTGGCCTCAGCAGGCGTGTGTTTAAGTAGTACGCCCTTGTCGTAGCCACCAGTGAGGGGCTGCTCCGCCCAGCTCCAGGCCGGCAGCTCCCTCGACCCCTGGCCGACAGCTCCGCCCGGCTCCAGGCCGGCAGCTCCCCCGACTCCTGGCCGACAGCTCCGCCCAGCTCCAGGCCGGCAGCTCCCTCGATTCCTGGCCGACAGCTCTGCCCAGCCCTAGGCCGACAGCTCCGTCCAGCCCTAGGCCGACAGCTCCCCGACTCCTGGCCGACAGCTCCGCCCGGATCCGGGCCGACAGCTCCCCGACTCCTGGCCGACAGCTCCGCCCAGCTCCAGGCCGACAGCTCTCCCGATTCCTGGCCGACAGCTCCGCCCAGCTCCAGGTCGGCAGCTCCCCCGACACCGGCCCGACAGCCCCGCGCTGCCAGCAGCCGCCGGCCGTGTTTCGACAGGCCGTTCCTCCTGTAGCCGCTGTTGATGTGGTAAATATTTTGCCTCCGTGACAAAACCGCCATAGACAGCCGCCAGCTGGACAGGCTGCCGCTAATGTAAACGTCCGCCCGCTCGTCCGCCCTCTCACCCGCCGTCCGTCCGCCCGTCCGTCCGCCCGTCCGTCTGTTCGTCCGTCCGTCCGTCCGTCCGTCCATTTTTCCATCCATCCGTCCGCCCGTCCGTCTGTCCATCCGTCCGCCTGTCCTTCCGTCCGTCTGTCCGTCCGTCCGTCCGTCCGTCCGTCTGTCCGTCCGTCCGTCCGTCCGTCTGTCCGTCCGTCCGCCCGTCCGTCCGCCCGTCCGTCCGGCCGTCCGTCCATCCCTGCCTCCGTTCCTTCGTCACTCGGCCGCTCCACCGGTTGGCTGGCCGGTGCGTCCGTCATGCCGCCGTCCACCGGCGCGTCGGCCTCATTACGTCGGAATCCCGGCGGCGCGCGCCCTCCCATTCCTCCGGCGCCGGCACCATAAACCGTTTATTTACCGATAGCCCAACGCGCCGTGTTGAAAGCGGCATGTCGCGGCGATGCTATCGCTCGGGGCGAAATTAGACATTCTGCCGGCGCGGGCCGATGATATCAGACGCACTCGCCGCCTCATATCCTTTTGTCTCGCGCTGTTCATCGCCGCTCCCCGTCGGCTATTACAAATCAGCACGCAATATCAGCGCTTGACGCGCGCAGGCCGACAAATATTTCTGATCTTATAACAAATATTAGATCAGAGCGGCGGCGGCCGCTGCTGCGTCAGCGCGAGGCGAGGATGGCAGCCGAGCGCGCCGATATTCGGGCGCCGCGCCAGAACTGTCGACTGTCAGCCGGCCGCGCCGGCAGCCGGCGGAATGTGTTGTTTAGTGTCGGCTATTTGATTTACGCGTGAAGGACGCCGCCGAAAATACTTGTCGTATTGAGCGGCGAGCTGCGCCCAGCGTGGCAGCGCAGGCGGCGTGCGTTTGATAGCGCGGATAATCCGGGTGTAAATAGCACGGGCGCCGCGCCGCCAAAGGCGTCCGGCTGTCCCGGCGCGGCAGCAGTCGGCGGTCTCATTCGCTCGTTAGGCCCTTCACCTAATCCCATTCAGTCGTCGGACGCGGATTATTTTTAACTCGGCCCGTTTGCAAACACGGCCGGCGGTAAGGGGCGGCGGCGGCCGGCGCGCGGACGTGCCGGCGCCGGCTGGCGACGCCTCCGGCAATATTTTCTCCCAAAGCGCCCGGCCAGCCTGCGGCGGTGTCGACATTGCACAGCCAGGCCTCTCTTATATCTCAACACGTCGAAATGGGTTGTTTGCACTCACGGGATAATAATTATTTTCTCCATGCCAAAGTTGTCTCACATCTGCGCTCGCCAGCTAATCCGCCGGCCGGGCGCGACCAATGAGCGCGCGGCTCCGCCCCCGGGGGCGGAGTCTGGTGACGTTTGACTGATAGACATGTTTCCATTGGCTGCGCGCGGCAACAATTTGTTTGGGGAGGGCGATAAACATTTGGCGGGCGTTCTGTTACAACAGTTTACGGAGGGCGGCGCGGCGGTCAGTCGGCTCTGCGATGGCGGTGCACGGCGAGCCTGTCGGCCCGCTCGGCTACAGTGTGCGCGACATCCTCGGTCTGCGGGGCATCGCCCAGTTCGCCGAGTCGGCGCTCGACTTCACGCTGCCGGCGGCGGCGGCGGCCGACGACGGACCCGAGCACCACGAGGCCGCCCTGCAGCGGCTGCACTGCTCCAGCGAGCCTGCCTCCGAGGACGACGAGCACGTCAACGTCGACAGCGACGGCACGGACGAGGGCGCGCCCGAGGAGCCGGAGCGCGCCGTCGACGAGCGCGACGAGAGGCGGCCGGACGAGCCCGGCGACGAGCCGGTGACCGAGGCAGAGCCGGCCGACGGCGACGACGCCAAGAAGGGTGCGCTCGTCAAGCCGCCGTACTCGTACATCGCGCTCATCACCATGTCGATCCTGCAGTCGCCGCAGAAGAAGCTGACGCTGAGCGGCATCTGCGACTTCATCATGAACCGCTTCAGCTATTACAAGGCCAAGTTCCCCGTGTGGCAGAACAGCATCCGGCACAACCTAAGCCTGAACGACTGCTTCGTCAAGATCCCGCGCGAGCCGGGCAACCCGGGCAAGGGCAACTACTGGACGCTGGACCCCGCCTCGCTCGACATGTTCGACAACGGCAGCTTCCTACGCCGCCGCAAGCGTTACAAGCGCCACCAGCCGGACCCGTTCGCCGAGCTGTACGGGCCGGCGGCGCGGCTCGAGCCGTACCGCGCCGCGCTCATGCTGCGTCAGCCGGCGGCGCCGCACCCGCACCTGCACCCGTACCTGCCGGCGCCGTTCCCGTTCGGCGCGCTGCCGCCGGCGCCGATGCTGCCGCCGGCCATCGTCAAGCCGGTGCCGATGCTGTCGGCGCCGCGGCCGGCGCCGCCCCGCGCCGCCCCTTTCAGCATTGAGGCCATCATGGCGCGCGACGCCGCCCGCTCGCCGCCGCTGCCCCCGCCGCCGCCGCCGCCACCTCCGCCGCAGTCGCCGCAGGTAACGCTGCCGTTCCGGCTGGCCGCACAAGAGCTGTATCGGCTGCAGTGTTCGCTGAACAGGTGAGCCGGGTCAGGCCGGATCAGGTGGGCAGGGTCGCGTCGCGTTCCGTTGTGATCCGTGTTTCGCTGCGATGTTGCACGCGCCGCCCGCCGTGCCGGGCTCGTCTGAGCACCGCGTGCCCCGCCAGGTTAGCCAGAAACGCTCTCCGTGTGTGGACAGCTCTGGACGCGTCGCTCTCGGAGGATCGCGCTAGTCGGCCGACGCGGCGCCAGCAGCGAGTGCTTCGGCTGGTCCCCCTTGCAGATAATATTTATCGTATTTTGTTGTTTAATTTAAATATGTTTTAGTGTCATGCTCCCGCGCGCGAGCGTGCGTGTTTTACAGTCGCGTGCTGGTGTTATGGCCTACGCGGGTGCGTTGCTTCAACAGCGCTGTCGCTGTGCGTTGCCATGACAGCGTCGTCGCTGCGCCAGGTCACGTGTCTGTGCGCCGGCCTGCTGGCTGTGCGTGGCCGGGGGCGGTGGCCGCCATCGAAGGGCGGCGTTGTTTCGAGTCGTTATGATCTCAGTGTGTGTCAACACCCGCCGCTTTCGAGGAATACACATTGAATGTCCCAGATCTGTGTGGTTCTTGTGTGAAAAGAGGCGGCGGCGCGTTGCAGAGGTGTCAGCTCCTTACATAGTGAGCGCCATGGCCATGGAGGGGAGGCACAGGAGCCTCGAAGGTTTTGAGAAAAGGGAGAAAACTGCACGGCGAGCTCCTGAAGGCGCACATCGGAGCTCGGTAAAAGGTCACAACAAAATAGATAGAAGGATAGAGAGAGAGAAAGATAGAGAGAGGGGGATGACGGAAGGAGACGGCTGCAACGAAGGATAGCGTTCAGACTATGGTCGAAGCAGGTTCACATAAGGGCGAGGAAGGGTAGATACTTCTTTATCGGGCTCCGCGTCCCAAATAACAAGCTCCTCCTGGCCGGTGCTACATGAGCAGACGCAAGATTGGAGCTCTCGGCGCTGTTTGAAATCGATTATCATGCTACCGATGACTAAACAATAGATACACACTTAAAAAACATAAATCAAGATAGGAATCAACTAGCACCCACACCTCGTCCGCAGCAGGCACAGCTAGCAGTCTCCGGCGCCGCCCGTATCGCTGCAGGACCAGTCAGGCACGCAGTCCGTCCGCGCCCCGCTGGATACCAGCGGCCTCACGGTCCGAAGCTCCGCTGCCTGAGACGAGAGTCTCCCGGCACACCGACCAGGGCTGAGCTGCAGGGAGACGTCAGCGACGCCAGGGCCAGGCGACGCTCGGGAGGGCATCTCCACACACGCAGAAACGACGCATTCCGCGCGCTGGACACCCGCGCATCTCTGGAACTCCGTAGTGGATCGGTTACGTCAGATGCACTTGGTTTCCCATAGCCTTTCTGTTTCGGCATAATCTGCGCATTGGTATTTCTTTCTGCCTGCGTTATATCAACATAATAAACTGATGCACAGGGAATGTGTGGGCGTACCCACGCAGCTTACAAGCTAAAAGTCACTGAGCTGGCAGGAGGCATGATAGTTGGCAGGAGGCATGTGTAGGCACTATCGAAAGGCGTGCGAGACCAGCGGGCTGATGGCTCCAGACCGCGACGAGGCCATGTTTTGCTTGTCTGGAAAACCTTTACGCAGAAGGGCTTATCGCCTGTCGGAAGGGCCGCGAAGCGGTGGCAGGAAACGGCTGAGTCGTGGTTTCCTGCCAGCCCCTCAAAAATATGTCGAAATGAGCAGTCACCCAAGCCCCCGCATCGTAACACCCCCACGCTAAGCGTCGCACGAAACACAGACAGCTGGGCCGAAAACGTCAGGCGGTACAAACATTGCACGGGGCAGCGAAAATCCCGTGTATTCAAATCTTTAGCTGTCCCTATAACATTCATTTTAGCAACAGCTGGAAGCAACGCGGACCTCAAGGCATTAGAATTGCTGCAGGTTCGTAATCTCCGTCCGATGCTGAACGCAGATGCATCACCATGGGCCCTGATTTAAGCAGCATTGTTTAGGTAAGGCACGTGGAAAACTAGCTCTACATTTGTTGTGATGATCACCAATGCCCGCTGGCAGATTTCTTTTTATCCTGATGCTCGGTGTGGGCCTTTGAAACCTTTCGGCCTAGCTGTCTGGGTTTTGGGAAGCCCTTAGCAATACGAATGCGGTGTTTTCTCAGGGGATGTGAGAACCTGAATACCCGGGATATTTGTAAGGTTTGTGCAGTGTTCTTGCTGACAAATGTTTGTGGTACGTAATTTTCTACCCTGATGCACGTGATGAGTAATCGTGGCCTTACGGGTTAGGCGCCTGTGTCTCCTGTAGCCCTTAGGATAGGGCCGTTTGCTGGTGTTATGATGTGTAACGTCCGATGAATTGTGATTTTTGTATCATTGAAGTGGCAGTGTCTGCACAGTTTTGGGGCATTTTCAGGATCCCTGCATCTCGGTTCTTAGCCTTAGCTTCTTAGCCTTAACTGCACCGCCCTGTTGGAATGTTGACACGGCAACGCTAGCGGAAGAAGTGTTTTTCGATGGCAAAATGTAAAAATCACATCAGTTTCAAGGGCAGCCGGTGTAGCTGCTGCCACACCCGTCATATTTTCATATTTGCATGTTCTCCATTCTCCACTGCGCTTCCAGACTGTTCTACGGCTGTGATGGTGATGGTTACTACAGCTGCACAGCCACACTTGGATATATGGTCGCTGATGGGAGCAAAAGCGTGCCCAGGAGGATAGCCTTTGGGGCCATGGACTCAATAGCTTCACCCGCCAGAAGTAATGGCGGACTCCTGGTTCCTGGGGCCGAGGACCCAGCACTTTTCGCCAGATACAGATGCTTGATGGACTTGCTAAGGCGGAAATCGGCCCTCGAGCCAATGTCACGCTTTACGGTGGATGCAAGATTTACCCAAAACACCGCTTATTAGTGCTGTCGTTTCGTTACTGTCCGCTGTTTACCTAGCCACGTGTTATCTCCAGCAAGACGCTCCGTACAGGCACGCCTGCTGTTAGAGGAATGCCAAGGCGACGGTAATGGTGTTTGTGGTGTTGTAGTGCTAAACATAAGCTACGTATTGTAATCCTGGTGTAGGAATGTTAAATTATCAGTATTTTAGACACTGAAACTGTCGAGGGTCAAAAAAAACTCCAAATACAGATACGAGGTCGCTCTTACACACCACCGGCGCAATCAACACATGAAAGGTGCGGAGGGGACGCATTGGCACTATGTCCACGACACGCTCCGGATCTGTTCGTGCTTACTAAATGTGATGGGAGGCATGCTTATTACATCCGCTGGGCGCTGCACATGAACCGACGAGTGGATGCACAGCGATGGCTGTTTTGAACGGCGAGGCACACACTTCTAGGATTGACGTTGTTCATGCCGGACAGTGTGAAAAGAGAGTGTTTAGCCGTACACCAGCCCAGTCAGCTGGTGCAGGTTCGCTGATGTACTGTGCAGAACCGGAGCAGCCCAGCTGCTGGTGATAGCGGCAGAAGCAGTGATAGCAGTCCACTGCAATCACGGCCATAGGTGAAACTTTTCGCACATTTGGAAGGGCTCGAGCCCCTTGTTCTCTCCGTGTCATTGCTCACCGGACATGACCATGAGTACAGGAGAAGGTAGATGTCTGTTCACATCATGTTCACGCGCTGATTCATACGAATCATCCTGGCCTGATGCCCACAGTTCCAGTCCTGTCTTCTCGCGTGTGTGCAGTTTCTGCAAAGCTAGATGCAGGGGCTACAGATGTGTTCCCAAGTAGAGGAGAGTGGCTGACAGTCACTCTTGTTAATTTTATTTCAGTCATTACGCACAGGGCCAATGTAATATTTTTTTAGAAAGTTGGGTGGCTTGGCCCTTGAATTTTTCGCCCGCGTTTAGACGGGCGAAGTCGAGGTAGAATAACATACCGTTGCAGTACGTCACCTCGTTACGGGACCAGTGTTTGTTGTCTTAATGGCCCAGGAGCATGTCAAACAGGAATGAGCTGTCAGCGGTTGTTTGCATTTGAAATATTGCCTTTTATTACTCAGGCAGAAAGACTACTATAGTTGTGGTCTAAATGAACCCGCGTCTCCAATCAGGGCCTGCCGACTTGACATCAAAGCCAGCTCCCTTGACCTCGTCCTTGAGAGTTCTGATCTTTTATTGGACAATGAAGCTTTTTCGCTGAGTCTTCTTACAGATTTCACTCATCACTATCAAAAGAATTTTTGGTACAAACGATATCTACATTACGTTTGTCCATCCGCGGGCGAACATTTGTTTCGAAGATGTTACGATGACCGTCTTTGTAACACTGTCACAATGTGCGAGCGGACAGGTATGCATATAAACACCATATACAGGGGCATGTAAATCACGTGCGTTTTATAGCAGGTTATCTTCATCTAAATGCATCGCCTCCAAGAAAAATGGGAGTGATAACCATGAAATGCAAACGTCGATTGCAGCACCAAAGCCTGACCACAACTAATGACGGCGAATTTTGGAGTATTTCAGACATCTGTTTTGTGGTGAGCTGGCGACCACCACACTGATCATCACAAACCTGGGTGGAACGTGTCATGCATTTGGGGCGACGCAGCACCCGTCAGGGTAGTGTCTGCGTCATTCCACCTCTTAATGATTCGCTCCTTGGATAGTTTTACTTCCGTTTCAAAACTATCGGCCATGAAGTTGCCCCGGCTCACCGACCCAAGATCAGCGGGGGTCAGGTCATGGCCTCAGTCTGACCCGGTGTGGGGCAGGAATCAGGGACATCGGTGCCCCCAAGCGCGTGGCCCGAGGAGGCAGCGGCCAGGGCTACTCGGACGCCGGGGCTGTTCCGGCTCTGCTGACGTCTGCAGCACGGCGGCTGGCTGGGGTTCGGCTCTGGGAGAGGTTGCCGACCGCCGGCCCGCCGCCCGCCCAGCGTGAGGGTCGGGGCTAGGCCAGGCCGTCGTGGCCAGGTACGCCGGTGTCGTCCACATGCACGCAGACAGTCTCCGTTCACCAAGACGCTCCTCTGGA